GTCGCTTATACGGCGTGGCGGCGCAGCATCGCGGCAATCCACTAAAACGCGTAGGGCGTTTACAGTCGCGAGTCGTGGTGGCGGCCGAGAGTCTCTCTCGCACCCGCAGGGGGGCCGCGCCGTGAGTGCGAGAGAGACGGCGACGGGGACCGGCTCTCGGAAACAGTGTGCCGGCGGACGGCATCAGTTTAACGCCGAGGCTCGCTCATCACCTGCGCTATGGCCCCGCGGCCCTTGGGGGATCGGCTGGGCCGCGGGCAGGGCCCTGGCAGGGCCCACTAGCACGCTCTGCCTCTCTCGCACTCGTGGGGCGCCCCGCACAGGGCCCGCTGCGGTGACCGCGAGGCCGCCAAGCCTCCGACCGCGTGTGTGTGAGATTTGACGGCCTCCTTACGCCCGACCGACGCGCCTCGCGGTCCTCCGCGGCCAGACCGCGTTTTCAGGAAGGGCCCTTGAGGAGGATGATGGAGTGCACGCCGCGTGGCGTCGCCGCTTTTCTTTGGTGACTTCATCCCCCCTTCGCTGTCATGACGGATTCCCCGGCCCCAACACATGATACTCCTCCGGCCGACGTGCGACGCGCGACGCACGCGCTCGCCCGCTATCTTCTTGTCGGGAAGTGAAATTTGCGCCCGCAGAGCCGCGCGTACGTGTGTGTACGCTCGTTTGTGCGTGTGTGTGCCTGTGTGCGTGTGTCTGCGTGAGGCCCGCCCGCGTCTCAGAAAAGGATGGCCCGGTCCAAGACACTTGGAGACATCCACGCCGCGCGCACGGCGCGGCGCCAAAACCGGTTTTCTGCGGCAGTATGCCGACAAGCGTCCGCGCGCGCGCGCTTCGAGGGGGTGGACAGGGGGGGGGGATTGGGGGGGGTTGGGGGGGGGGGGACTTTTGCGCCGTCACGGAAGCCGACCGGACGCGAAACCCCCTCATCCATCTGCAGCGTGTAACACATGCACACACACACACACCCCACACAGAGGAGAGGTGCGGCCCTCTCCGTGAGACCAATGGGAAATTGTTCGCCTCGTGCTACACTTTGGCGGAAGTGTGACACTCCAACACCTCTTGCTGGCCTCTGGGTTGTGGCGTGCACTGCTAGTGCACCACACAGCATATCGTGAAATGGCAACTTTTTAAGAGCGGCACCGGAACGCCGCGTCGCCGTTTTGTTGTGTTTTAACAGTGCACCGCGCCCTGCCGCGCCCTGTGTGCCCCAACGGCCCCGGCCACTCTGTGACGTCCATTTGGTGTGTGGGATGTTGGGGAGGCCGTTTTCAGGCGGACGGACAGACAGACAGACAGACAGACAGACGGGTCGCGATAGGCTGCAGGTTACGACTCCTATCCACGCATGCGAATTCGTGAACCGGCGATACGCCGCGTGTGGTGAAATGGGCTTGGCTCTGTGTCTGCGTGTGTGTGTGTGTGAGTGTGTCGCAAGTGTGGCACCCTGTGTTCCCCCTCCCCTCCCCTCCCCTCGAAAGAGTCAGTGTAGCCGCCCGGCCACAGGGAGTGCACCGCAGGCTGGCCGGCCGAGCGGGCAGCCCGGCCACGCCACTGTTCGGCGGGACGGCCTACCTCGCCCCTTGTCCGCTGGAGCCTGCTGCAGGGGTGATTACTACCTAATTTTGTTGACTGCGGCGGGTTCAAGATTTAGGCGGTGCTGTTTTCGCCACGCACAAGCAGACGGTCTGTCTGTCTGTCTGTCTGTCTGTCTGCCTGGCGGGCTGGAGGGGTGGGGCCCTATGCGGGAGGCCGTGTCGCAAGTAGCGTGTTGCCGAGCAGGGAGGCCATCGTTCGCCAGATCGTATCTAACGCCCTAGACGCCTACCCCGGAGCGCCGCGCCGCGCCACGCCACACCTCTGGCCACTGCGGCTGTGTAAATAATCGTAGCGCGGTGACGGACTTCATTAAGGCTCATCAGGCCATTGTGCGGTAACCATGGTAACAGTGCGCGAGTATTTTTCCCGCTGCCGAGCGGCGCGCAGTGCGAGCGGCGCCTACCCCTCCCCCTCCCCTCCCTCGGTCCCTTTTGTGGCGAAGATGAGGGCCCAGTGCGCGCAGCGCGCAAGGATCGCCACCAACTCACTGAGATGCTGGCCGCCCGCTAGCGGGGCGGGGCGGGGCGAGGTGGAGCGGGGCGGGGCCCTCTCGTAAAGTGTGCAACGTACACACTCCGAGGCGGTGCCAAAGAAAATACTAATTATTGTGCTAGCGATTCTCCAGCGAAGTTCGCTGTCAAATTTGAAGGTGTTCCGCGGATAATCGGAGCCATCGGCTGACAACCCGGCGGAGTGGGAGAGGAGGGAGGGGGGAGAGGGAGAGGGGCACAACACGAGCCACGAACAGTCATGCGGCCCGGTTAGGCGCCCTGGGGGCGCTAAGATACGCGCGGATATGCTCCTCGGCCGGGGCGGGGCGGGGCGGGGCGGGGCGGGGTGGCGTCTCGGAGCGCGCTCGAAATTGAGGAGGACACAAGGCCGTGGGAAGCGGAGCAACTCAAACACCCCAACGGACGGCGGGGCAGGCAGCCGAAGGCAGCACTGCTAAATGGCTGCCCTCTCTCTCCCTGTCTCTCTCTATTTCTCTCTGGGCAGAGTGCGAGGAGGTCAGCCTGAGGCTCTGGCGTGGAGCGCGCGAGCGGGACTCCACCAGACTGGCACTCTGAGCCCGTTCATAAACCTAGCGCCGGATTTGGGACCGCAATTGGGCCCCCAGTGCTTAAAGAACGTCGTCATCAGGGATACTGGGTCATTTTGGCTTGGATTTTCGTCCCTTGCGACTGAGTTTCCTTCCCTGAATCTACGGCGGCCCCGCTCCGCCAGGTTCCAAGCTCAACGCCAGCGACATGGGTGCACCTCATTAACGCCAGCCCAGTCAGCTGGTCGGGCTGGTCGCCTTAAATCCACTTAGCGCGTCCACGCGCGATGGGCTTTTACTTTTACGCGCGGCAATTAACATTAAAGGGATGGCGGTGTCGCACTCATTCAAATGGCACTAGTTTACTTCCATCACGCATTAACATCCTGCATGCATCTGCAGGCGGCAGATGGAGAAGATTGTTTGCCAATAAAATTTGAATGCAAACAAGCTTCGATTGCGATCTCGGGGCGCAGCGCGCGGCAGCCCAGCATCCCGGGCGGCGGCCTGCCGGGCCGGGGCGGCCGGGGCCGGGCCTGCGGTGGGCTCGGACTTCAGCTTGCTGGCTTCAGCCGACGGGTTGCCGCGGCCGCCGCCAGGGAGCGCCACGCCACGGACGCTTCGCCACGCTTCGCCACGCTTCGCGTTTCCCCCGGGCGAGGAGGCAGGGCAGGCAGGGCACGCCGGAAGTAAGGCGGTGGGAGGAGCCACCGCGACGGGCTCGGTGCCGCGGTGGGGGACCGCGATGACGGACTAGATGAAGGCCGGGAGGACGGGGGAAAAGAGAGAGAGAGAGAGAGGAGAGAGAGAGAGAGAGAGAGAGAGAGAGAGGAGAGAGAGAGAGAGAGAGAGAGAGAGAGAGAGAGACCCCCTGCCGGGCGGCGAAAGGACCGCGGGGAAAATGAAGACGGCGGCACCGCGGCGTCCGTCGCTCCTCTGGTCGCCATGGCGACGCGCCGCGACGCAGAGGCAATTACTTATTGCAGTTCGGCGAAAAGAAAGCCGTGATGAATGGCCAGCCTGTCGCGCGGCAAAATGAAAAAAAAGCGGCGGATCCAAGTGTTGCCAACCTGGCAACAAATTACCGCCGCGTGTGTTGCATCAGCGGTGCGGTTGCCTACCCTGCCCCGTTCGGAATAGTGGCCGCGTCAACTAACTAAAACCCCGGCGGACCCCCGGGCAGAGGCTGCAGCGGCACTGGCAACGCGTCCGAGAGTCGTCGCTCCGTCTCTCTCGCTCACACGGGGCGTTCCGCGGGTTCCGCAGGGGGTGCGAGAGAGACGGAGCGACGACAGCGCCGCACAGGCCTGCACTGCAGACATTGTTTGATTTATCTCCGCACCTGGCGAGGCGGGCGAGGCGGGCGAGGCGGCTGAGGCGCCGGGGACTCCCGGTGAGTGATTGCTGCACAATTACCCACTGGCTAGCACTGTAGGCCTTGGCCAGCCCGGACGGAAGAATCGCTACGGAGGGCCGCCGCCGCCTCAATTCCCTACTTTTGACTGCTAGGGGCTTTGCTCACAAAGTTTCCAATCGCACGTCAGCACAGGACTTTCTTTCGTGGTGTGTGTGTGGTGTGTGTGTGTGTGTGTGTGACTGATAGGCCTCGTCAGGGTTTGTGTCGTAATCATGACGCATTGCGGCGTGCGACCCGCGTGCGACTGGGTGTAACGCTAGCTTGACGCTAACGTTAACTGCACAATCGGTGGCTCGAGGTGTGAATGCAAACGGATCGGCCGACGTGTGAGCGGGGTGGGAAGGGGGGGAGGGGGGGGAGGGGGGGGGGGTGCCCCGCTCCGAGCATATTGATCGCGGGGGGAACTTAGTGCTGTTTTTCTGGACGGTGTGAGAGAGAGACAGACAGCGCCTGCAGCGGTTGGCCCTACAGCATCTGGTAGGCGCTATCCGTCTCTCTCGCACAGCGTCGCCAGGCGCTCCGTAAGAGTTCCCCCCCCCCCCCCCCGCGCCGCTACCACCGGTCTTCTGGCCCACTGTGCGCTGCATCTCTGCGCATACTCCCGCTCACACACCGCAAAAGCAAGAGGGGAGGGGAGGAGAGGGGAGGGGAAGGGAGAGGAGGAGTAGGGGTCGCTGCCGGCCCGTGCCTGGCCGACGAACTTCATTCAGGTGCGCAGTTGTTTTGGTTCTCGGTCGTCCCGCATTCGTCGTAAACTTGGCCTAAACTTCATTCTAGTGCGCAGTGTTGAGTCAGTTGAGTCGTCCCGTCTTCGTCCTAAACTTGGCCTAAACTTCATTCTAGTGCGCAGTGTTGTGTCAGTTGAGTCGTCCCTTCTTCGTCCTAAACTTGGCCTAAACTTCATTCTAGCACCGTAAGTTAATCGTGTACAAATTTCGTGTATAGTGGAACCGCCGAGAGAGGAGTAGGGCTGCCCATAAGAAACAGGCAGAGAGGCCTACTAAACTCACGGGAGGAGGAGAATAGTCAGTGCAAATTTCCTGTCAGGTGGACGCGTTTTGAGCTCCACAGTCGCCAAATGAGACTCCAACCGAACGTGTGACCCCACCAATGTTTTGACTGACGTCGTGGCCGACAGCGTCCTCTCGCTCGACGCATTCTCGGGAAATGTGGCAAACTTCTTTGCATAGGCGGCCGTCGCTCCTCGGTGCGAGCGCATTTAGAGACGGCGGCGCGGCCGGACCTCGGTTACATTGTTTTTGTCGGCACGGTATGCCATAGCATGGCTTCGACGTCCGCTTGGCGGATGGTATTGACTTCTGGCTATTGGCTGGTGCGGCCGGGGCGGCCGGGGCGGCCGGGGCGGGGCCCGCGGACTTGGCTTTGTGACGGGGTCATCGTGGCACTGGGCCTGGGCTGTCGGAGCGGGGTGTAATTTGTTGCGAATTATCGCGTAGTGCATGACGAGTGTGTTGTTGAAACTTGAGTAGACGGTGGTTCGGCGTTCGGCCGGGCTGGCGGCGCGGTGCCGCCGCGTGGAGAGGAAGGGGAACGGCCCGGCGGTTTGCCGGCGTGCCTCGTCGCTGCCTCCACGGAGTGCCGTGCCGTGCTGGCGGGGCTAGTGGGCCGTGGCGCGGCGTGGTGTTCACCTTTGGCGCGCCGTGCTACGTGTGGCCAGGTGGGGCGCTGCTGGCATAGTCCAGGGGTCTCGCAGCGGGCCGCAATGGGAAAGATAGGCGAGAGACACAAGTCCAGGCCGGGCCGGCGGCGGCGTCTGGCTCGTCTCCCTGCTGTCGAATGTGTCGAGCGGCCGGCAGTGAGGCTGTCTCTCTCGCACTCCCACGGTTATATGGGAGGGACAAGGACAGACAGTGTGCTCGCGCGGCCGACGTGAGCCGAGGCAGCAGAGCGCTGGCCCGTCGCCGCCGGGCCGCCGGTTCGAGCCCGGTGTATCGCCCGCTGGCACCTATCCTTGTCTTTCCCATAGGAGTCAGTGAGAGCAAGAGAGATGGACGATGTGCTCGCTTCGTTTCACACCTCCCCGGCCTACTCGCCTCATCTCCCATCTCTCTCTCTTCTCCCGGTGCGGCCCGCGGTCTTCCGCCAGTCTGAGACCCCTGGCATAGTCAGGCACGATGTCGGTCGTGGTGCGCCCTCGACGGGCTGCGCGTTCAATTGTTCGGCTGGAAATTCCGACTTGTCGTCCCAAAACTGCTGACGGGGGCGTGGGGAATTTGAAGTTGACTTGTCAGCTTGTGACGCGATGACGGCTGTCTCCTCGTTCTGGAGCGGGGCCCGGGGGTGCTGGGCTTTTTTGCGTAAACCCGCTGTCGATTGGCGTGGCGTGGCGCCGCGGTGCAGGGGGGGCGTGTGGGGTTGCCTGCACGGCGGGAAGTGCCGCAAGGGTTGCCTGCCTGGCAGGCGCAGGGCGCGCGCGGTTCACGGGGAGGGTGGCTTTCGCGACGCACTCAAGGGAGGGTTTTACGCCAGTGCCGTGTTTCTGTTCGGCATAGTGAGCGTGTCGGAGGGTTGGCTCCTACACGCGTGGGCGCCTCTTCGTGAAGAAATGGCGGCTTGAGATGGGGGTTCGGCGTAATTTGGTTGTTTCGGTAAAATCCTTCAAAGCGAGCTCTTTGCCGCGCGATGTGGATGCCGAGCGCCGCGTGTTGGATTCGCACGTGGTCTTGCAGGTGGCGCCTTGGTGCACCATTTGTGGGGGTGGGTGGGCCGTGCGTGCACAGATAGTGACAGTAGTTGGATGCAGCAGTGCAGGCCTAAGTGGGCCCACAGCGCAAATTTTGTCACGCCGAATGCCTCGGTGGGGCTTACATCGGTCAGCTCTTTCTGTTCATCGCACGCCGCGGTATGGGTCTTACCGCGGGAGTGTCTCAGTGCACGGTCTTGGGGGAGTGAGCAGCCAAACCGTTACCCGGGCCCAGGCTCGGTTTGCCCCGATGTGTGGCCGGAGCCGCGGCGCTGGCTAGAGCGTGAATGCGAGCGTGACACAAAGCGGCGTATGCGGTGGCGGGCCTGGTTGGGGTTACGGTTTCGACGCCCTGGCGTCAGTAAGCGTGGCCATGCTGCGCGCCTGCTACTCTCGAGCACCTGGCTGGCGCCACGGTGCACGATTGGTAGAGGGTTGACTTGAGCTGGGCTGGGATCGCGTTGGCCGGGACGCGGGCGTGCCGGGCTGGCGTGGTCCTGTGCCTGCTGGGCACGCCGTGGTGGTGATCGAGCCGGGGCACCCTGGGCCTGTTGCGGCGCCATCCCCGTGCCTCGCGTGGGGCTGAGCTGGGGAGGGTGAAGCTGGAGGGCAAAGCTGGAGGGCAAGGAGGGCGTGTCCGATTCACTGTTTGAGAATGACGGGGAGGTGCCTCCGTCATCGCCGTGCTCATGGCGGTGTTGGTGCTGTCCAGCGTGCTCGCTGCTGCCTTGTCGGCCTGTGGGTGCTCGTGATGGGGGCCTTGTTGGCCAGCTGGACAGCTCCCAGCCGCGCACCTGGATTGCACCGCGGTGCTGGCCTTCGGGGGCGTCGTCGTGTACTGGGTGGCTTGGTGCCGCGCTGACGGGGCGTGTGCGAGGAGTAAGCGGCTCGGTCCAGGAGTTGCGTTGGACTAGCGTAGTGGCTGCTGTGCGCGTACACTGGTGTACAAAGCTTGGGCTTGGAAGCAGAGCTGGCTCGGGGCCGCGCTCGAATTGCTGGGCACTGGCAGGTACGCCTTCTCGGCGAAGCATGTCTGGACTTGTCTGACGCCTTGCGGTCAGCTTGCAGTGGCGTGCTCGCGTGGAGTCGGTGGGGGTCTTATAGGCCATGTCTGAGGGGCGCCATGCAGCCTCTTCGGCCTGGCTGTGAGCCTCGGCGTCGGTGCTGGCGGCGGCCTGGGCGGCACCCTGGCCGGTTGTTTGGACGCACTGCATGTGGGTTTGGTTCAAAACGGTAGCCTTTGTGGGGCTTGGCTGGGGTTCGACCTGGCGGCAGCTTGGCGCGAGCGGCGCGCTGCCTCAGCCGAGAGCCCGGGCCGCTGCCCGCGGCTTCGGCTCCGCGGGCCCGGCGAAGGACTTCGGGTGCCAGACATCCTGTTTCGGCCCCTACGGCCCCGCGGCGCGCCGGAAAACACACTGCGTTCTGGTCTGAATGCACTGCCGGTGCCAGACTCGAGCCTCGCGTCCCCACCATCAGAGCGCGCTCTCCCTACCTAAGTTCCACCGAACAAAAATCCACCAGGTTTCCACCAACCCCCACCGCTTTCCACCAGAGTTCTCCACGAGCGGTCGCTGCAGAGGACCAGGGTGGGTCAGGTAAAGGGGCGGATTAGTACCCCTCCTCTCCCCGATCTCCCCTCTGAAGGCCGTCTCGGTGGCGGTGGGCTGCCACACCATGTCCGAACCTGCCTCGTGGTGACACACTCATTGCCCTAGCGTTTTGGAAGTGCGTCCGGGGCCCCGGGAGCTCGATTGGGTCGCCGTTCGGAGGGTGGGTCATGGCTGACGCGGCGCCTTAGCGCCAGTCTGGCTGCTGCACCATCCTGTTTCGGCCCCTACGGCGCCGCGGCGCGCCGCGCCGGAAAACACACTGCTTTCTGGTCTGAATGCACTGCCGGGCGCGGATCCGGAGCCCTCGATCCGCGAGGGCGCGGCGCGGGGTGTGTCGTCACGTGGGGTGCACTCCGTGCACTCGGCGTGCATGCGAGGCGAGTCTGCGAGTCTCCTTGGGGGCCCCTTTTGGCGATGGACTTACGCCCACCCCGTCGCGGTGGGCATTCGGGTCGGCCTCAACCTGTCTCTACGCCCTGGCGGGGGCGGGGCCCTTGGCGGGGCCCTTGGCGGGGCCCCTTTGGGGGGCCCCTTTGGGGGGGCCCTTGGCGGGGCCCTTGGCGGGGGCCCCGGGGGGGCCTTGGCGGGGCCCTTGGGGCCCTTGGCGGGGCCCTTGGCGGGGCCCTTGGCGGGGGCCCCTTTGGGGGGGCCCTTGGCGGGGCCCTTGGCGGGGCCCTTGGCGGGGCCCTTGGCGGGGCCCTTGGCGGGGCCGGCGGACGCAGCCTCCCCGGGTGCGCTTCCCCTCCTCGCGCGCGACGGCCGGCGCGGAACATTGTCAATCCCTCCCCGTGTACATCATCACAGTGTGGGTGGATCAGTGGCTAGGATTCATGTTATTGGCTATCATATTTTTGTTTTCATTGTGTTTTCAGATGAACGGCGGATTCTGGTGTATCGAGTGCCAATGGCCATTTAAGTATTTAACATGTCATAAGCCTTTCAAAAGGCTGGGCCGTAAGTATTTTTTTTTAAGCAAATGATACCTTTACTTAAAAACATACCTAAAACTACAACTACAAGACACACAAAGGGTCAGCTAGCTTTTTCCCCGGAGTCGAAAAAAACCCAACAATATAATGGGGGCTGGTGCCGGGTGGGGTGGTGCGACTGGGCTGGGGACTGGCTGGCTGTGCCTGCGGCGCAGCCCGCGCGGAATTTGACAATGGCACCCCCTCCTCGCGCGCGACGGCCTGCGCGCAACATTGACAATCCCTCCCCGCTACAGCGAGAATGCATATCTTATCTTATGCATGAACTGATACTATCTTTACCAATGAGCCCATACTACCCCGTAGAAGAAAACGAAACGAGTATCATCTGCTTTCATTAACGTTCGTTGAATGAGATTTTTTAGCCCCCCCCCAGCGTGCCCCACAGCAGTCTATCTACACACGCTTGTATCTTGAGTTCGTAGAACACACAGTGCAGCGGCCCCCGAACCCCTGCCTCTCTTGAGACGCCGCGCGTCGGCTGTTCGCGCTACTTTTGCTTATCTTTGGTGTGCCGGCCGCGCTTCGAGTTGTGACTGGCAAGCTGCGCGCCCCGAAGCGTACCCCCGAGTACCCGAGCGTGTCTGAGACCCCTGCCCCGTACAAGTGGTATCGGGCATATGACACATTAGGATATCCGAAAGTTATACTAAAATCAACATTTTCGTGCCATGCGTAAGAAATTTGTCTCATAAAGAGTTCATAGTTCAAATTAATTGACACTGTCACATTCATCCTCGAAAAAGTTTCTAGTATTAATCGTGGAATAAAACCATACCACCATAAATTTAAATAAACAATCTCATTAGTATCATCTGTTTCCTAGTTTGTTTTAACAGTGTACATGTATTATCTTTTTTCAGATGAATTTACCATTTCCATGGTGATAAGGTGGAGAACAGACCAAGTAAGTATGGCCTTTTTCTTTTGATATCCTCCTTCTTTCTTCCTTCGGCTCGCTTCGGCTGTTAATAGGTCCCCGTGTTTTCCTTGCAGGAAACCGAGACAGGATCTTTTTATAAAGTAAATGACGATAACCGGCCCCCTGTCTCGCCACCGCCACCGGCGGGCCCACTGGGAGTGGGAGAGCGGTGCTCATATTGCGAGGAAACTATGCGTAAGTGACAGATTTCGGATAAGAGATGACGGCGACGTCTATCTGGCTGGCGGTTGACTGCACAAACCAGCTTTAATTTATTTTAGTACTTATTTTTTTTTCTGCTTGTTCAACAGCGGCGGCCGAAGCGGAACATCAGCTCCCACGGGAAGCCCCACCCCCACCACAGGAAGCCCCACCACAGGAAGCCCCACCACAGGAAGCCCCACCACAGGAAGCCCCACCACGGAAGCCCCACCACAGGAAGCCCCACCACAGGAGCAGCAGGAACAGCGGGCAGCCCGCCGCCGCCGCAACGTAAGTTAATCTTTTCTCTCTCTCTCTCTCTCCCTCCCCCCCTCCCTCCCTCCCTCCCCCTCTCTCTCTCTCCTCTCTCTCTCTCTCCCTCCCCTCTCTCTCTCTCTGCCGCGCGTATTCGTTGTCACCCTGAAGCCAGTCACCCTCTCTCTCTCGCGCGCCGCTGTGGCGAACTCCACGAGTGCGAGACAGGCGAGCTTGTGTCGGACCCAAAACGGCATAGATCCTGTGTGGTCTAGCCCTTAATGGTAATGGGGAGACAGAGCGATGCCGTTCCGTGCAACACCGGAGCGCTGCGGGTTGCCCACCCTTCGTTTCGCAAGCGCCTTGCGCGGGTCGCCGCCACCGCCGCCCAGCCCAGCCGGTATGAAGTGGTAGTGGAGTGTCAGTAAGTTGTGTCGGCTGGTCGCTGCTCCGCCCGGCGGCCTCACAGCGGCGGGGCGGGGCGGTGGCCGCAAGCCCCACGGTCGTGGGAGGTTTCCACGGGCGCCCGCGTAGGGATTTCTCGCAGTGTCGGCTGGTCGCTGCTCCGCCCCGGCCCCACAGCGGCGGGGCGTGGGCGGTGGCCGCAAGCCCCACGTCGTGGAGGTTTCCCACGGGCGCCCGCGTAGGGATGCTCGCAGTGTCGGCTGGTCGCTGCTCCGCCCGGCGGCCTCACAGCGGCGGGGCGTGGGCGGTGGCCGCAAGCCCCACGGTCGTGGGAGGTTTCCCACGGGCGCCCGCGTAGGGATGCTCGCAGTGTGGTGGTTCAGTGGTGGTGGCTGCGCGGCGCTCCGTAGGGGTCGCACAGGAGTCACCGTCCGTCGCAGTCCAGTATCGGGAGACACTCACTCACTATCGGGTCCGTGGACTGCAGAGTCCAATAATAACGCACTGTCACTACACTGTCGGGCAGAGTAACACCGTAGACTTGGATCTTCCGCGGAGCCGCGAGCGCGTGTCGTCAACAGAGCGTGATGGTCTGAACTGAGACTCGCTTCGCCGGTGCCCTCCTATACAGTGCACAGCCGTGGTCCAGGGCGAAGCCCCAGCGGGGTGCCAGAGTCCGCCCCAGTCTAGCACCGCACCTGCCCGTCTCGCTCGCACTCGGGGGGCCTTCCGCCAGGGGTGCGAGAGAGATATGTCGAGGGAGCTGTGCGGGATCAGTCGGCCACGCCGTGGCTACGCGCTACGCAGTACGTACGCCAGGGTAAACAGGCCTTTGCAATATAGCAAGCATTAAACGCGAGCGCGGCTAGTCGGGCCGGCGCCAGCGTGGGCACTGCCTGGCGGTGCCACGCCAGTGCGAACAGTAAATCGCTGCCCGCCGATACCTCGATTCCATATCTCGATATCACACGTCGTGCAGTGCGCGCGATGGCCGTCGGCCCCGGAAACTGACGGCCAGCTCCAATTGGTTCACGTTCACGGCCTCGCGAACGATGCGGCCGCCACGCTGCGAGGCAGCGCACAGTGGGCCAGAAGACCGGTGTCGGCGGCCAAAACTCTAGACGCGTTTTGAGCTCCAGAGTCGCTAAATGGGCTCGAACCGAACGTGTGACCCCCCCCATGGATTCCTCTTTCGGAGAGCTATCCATTGGGGGGTCACCGTTCGGTTCGAGCCCCGTTTAGCGACTTGGAGCTCAAAACGCGTCTCGATTTTTGGGCCGCCGGCGCCCGGGCTTCTACCGCACTGTGCAGCGGGGCTGGCTAAACGAGCAGCGCGCTGCTGCCGGGCCCAAAACAAATTACGCGACCCCCCGCGAAAAATGGAAAAGTCTTGTCGGTTGGAGGCAACGCCAGGCGATGCGTCAAGCGGCGCGGCCAGGCCGCCGCCACGCCGCTGACACACGCGCGTGTGGATGGTGTGATTCAGCCGGCAGCCCACGCACGCGTCACGCAGTCTCCGGCCCCGCGGTCACGCCACTGTTTCCGCGTCGTGGGAGAACCGCGGCCCCCGCCGGGCCACGCCGGGCCACGCCGGGCCACGCCACTGTCGCCGCGTGATGCGCGCGTTATTTCAGCTCACGCCGAAGGATCGTTTCGCCGTCGCTCTGTCTCTCTCGCACCCCTAAGGCACGCCCCTTGAGTGCGAGAGAGACAGAGCGACGAATCGAGCCTACCGCCACCGCGGTGTTGGTTGCTTTGCTGCCCGTCGCGTCCGCCACATGATTAGGCTGCCGGTTTGTAATGACGCCGGGGATCCCCGTCCCTGCTGTCTCTCTCGCACTCGCAGAGCGTCCCGTGAGGGTGCGAGAGAGACAGCGTGTCGTGGTCCGGGAGGGCGCTGCAGCACAGTGGGCCAGAAGACCGGTGGAGGCGGCTAAAATTCTAGACGCGTTTTGAGCTCCAGAGTCGCCAAACAGGACTCGAACCGAACGAGTGACCCCCACCAATGGATTCCTCGTTCGAAGAGCAATCCATTGGTGGGGTCTTACGTTCGTTCGAGTCCAATTTAGCGACTCTGGATCTCAAAACGCGTCCAGAATTTTGGCCGCCTCCACCGTCTTCTGGCGCACTGTGCGCAGTGCCGGAGGTCCTCGGAGGTCCCCGGATGGGGTTCCTGGAGGCCGGCGCCGTTCCGTCGTTCCGTGTAGGCGGAGTGTCGCCGCCGTCGCCGAGGTCACCGTCACCGTAACGAGCCCGCCCCAGCCCGCCCTAATCCGCGTGGCTCCCGCACTTGCCAGTTATCAGGAATCGGACGCGTTTCCGCGAGCGCCGGCTCACTCTGGAGCAGGGCTTCCCCGCGCCGTCTCTCTCGCACTCGCGGGGCGTCGCGTAGGGGCGGTGTGGGAGAGACAGGCGGCGTTCTCGGACACAGCCTGCAGGGGCGTGTCTGGTCTGCCCGCCCTGCAGACTGATTCCGAGAGTCGTTTTCGTCGCTCTGTCTCTATCGCACTCGCGGGGCGTCCCGTGCAAGGTGCGAGGGAGACAGGGAGACTCTCGGAATCAGTCTGCTGGCCGGCCAGTCACTCCGGCCACCGAATTTCTCATAGCGGCCATTCACAAAGTAGCCGCATTCCGCATCGGGGCAACGCTCCGCTCCGAGTCCGTCCGAGTCAACCGCGGCGGCGGGCGGGGCGGCGGCCCGTATCCATTTAGACAATCCTATCCAGTTAAGAGATTACAGAGTTACACCCCTAAGCCCCGGGACGGGACGGCGCGGGGCGCGGGGCTCGGGGCGGTCACCTGCTGGGTGGGCCGGGCTTGGCTGCCTCCCCCCTCCCCCTCTCTCCCTCTCTCTCGGAGGTTGCCGCCCTTCCATGGCCTCTATTCTCCATGGCCCCTCGTTGCTCGTGCACTTGACGACGCGCGTGCACGGAGCGGTGGCAGACCGACATGTGAAACAGCCCGACCTCGGCTGGGCCTACCTTGGGAGGTCGTGGGCCCGGCCATTTGGCCCGCACGCGTCATAGGCGCGTGCTGCCGCGCACGTAGCCGCGGCCAGCCGTCGGGCCGGGCATGCCTGCGGGGCGGTGCGCCGGGCGGTTAGGCCACCCATCGGGCTGGTGTGTGGGTGGCTCTCTGACAGGAGCCTTGCCGTGTCCCGATGTCCCTCCCTCGAGCTTACTACCGCCCTGTCTTGCGGCCGCCCGAGGCGCGCATCGTGTACAGCGCTGTGCGCTACTCGGATGTTTGTGTTCTGTTTTGATCTTGTGGATAACCCAATTTTCTTTCTGCCTACAGATGAAACAGGTGTTCCGTGCGCTACTGAGATTTGTTGAAGAGGAGCTGGATTCTGATTGATTTTAATTCTCTGCACTTGCTCTGCTCTTATTTCTACTGTAAACAGTGTTTTAATTGAATTTTATTCTTGGAAATCATGTAAAGTGCTTTTTAAACTTTGTACCTTGTACCTCATTTTTTTGAGATATTCAGATGATTTTCTTAATTTCTTAATATGTGATAAATAAAATTGATTGGCAGTTATTTTGCTGTTTTCCCTTGATTTCCTTGGCATTACACAAGGTGTACGCACGTTTATTTAAATATCTTTGTCGAAATATGCCACCACATCATGGAAACATCATGATGACATTCATTACATGGAACAATACAAAGTCAAAAAACAAATAACTTATCAAATTTTTAACAACAGGCTCGACCTGACGCTTAAGCTACACTTGTGGACAAAATTTAAAGAACGTTTTTTGAGCCGGTCGGGCAGCTTTGATGGGTCCTCTTCGCGCATGTAAAGTTGCATGCGAGGATTGATGTCAAGGGGTTGTTTTACACCCGTTATCGTGGCGCCGGGCCTCAGGACGCCGGCTGGTCTGTCCTGCAGGGCGGCAAGCCCTAGCTGGCAGCCGGCGGTGCGGCCTGGGCCCGCCCCGGGAGGCCCGGGCGATGAGCGCCTGTGGGTAGGCAACCCCCTTGCGTACGGAAGTCCTTGGGGTTGCCTGGTCGGCGGTCACTACCATTACCATTACCATTAAGGGCTAGACCACACCGCCACACTCCCCGCTGTCGAGGCAACACCCTGGACCAGAACCAGGGCGGGGTCAGGGTACACGTGCATGTTGCCAGCCCCCTCGAGGGGACTCCCATAGGATATCTAAAAGGTATACTAAAATTGACATTTTCGTGAATACACATGGGTAAGAAATTTGTCAAATAAAGAGTTCCGAGTGTTTACTCTTTCAAATTAATTGACAAAATGTCACATTCATCTTCGACAAATTTTTCTTGTAATCGTGGAATAAAATCAAATCACCATACATTTGAACAAACATTCTCATTAGTATCATCTGCTTTCACGTTGGCGTTAGGGTTAACGTTTTTTAACAGAATGCTGGGAATAAACCGCACAGACGGAGACAAACAAAAGCAGTGCCAGTTCTTTGGCCGTTGGTGCCCAAATAAAATGGTGAGGAGGAACCCTGACCACGGACAACGTGGAATGGCCTGGCGGGGTCGGGACGCGACTGGGGCGTGGCGTGGCGTGGCACGTGTGTGTGTTGTCGCGGTCCTGGGCAGGGGCACGAGGTCCTCGGATGCCTTCAGGGTCTGCGACGCGCTCCGCCGCTCTATTTCAAGCCGCCTGGCGCGTCCTCGCAGCCCTCGCTGTCCGCCCTGCCGTCCTCGCCGCCCCGCTCCCGCTGATGGACAAGGGCCCGAGCATCCGACCGACACCGCGTCGTGTTGGAGTATCGAATGGAGACCGTCCTCCCGCCGAGTGGAAGGACGAAGGACGAAGGATGGGGAGCAGGGGGCGAGCACTACGTACATTTTTATTATTTGCCCCTTCCCCCCGGCACCTGTCAGCAGGCCCGCGTGACCCTCCCCCCCCCCTCCCCCCAAATCCCTCCGTGCCTTCGACGACAATTACAGAAGAAAACGTTTCTAACGCAACTAAAGGGCAATTAGGAGGCGTCCTGGTCAGGCAGCTATCGAACGCACCTGTATGCGAACACACACACACACACACACACCTACACTGGGCCCTAATGGCTGCAGTGGTACTGTTTTTCGAATGTGTGTGTGCCGTGTGTGAGTGTGTGTGTCACGTCGCACCATGCGACATCGCGTTGCCACTACTTTCTAAATTATTGTGTTCCCTGCCTGTTAACATTCCTCGAGGAGTCTCCCGCTCGTTCGATTCTTGCTTAATTCTCTCTCTCTCTCTGTCTCTCTCCAGGAGAGCCCGAGGCCTTCCCTCTCTCTCTCTCTCTCTCCCACTCTTTCGCTCAGTCCCCCTTCGTTCGCTGTCTGGCTCATTGGGCAAACAGTGTGTTGTTGGCGGAGTGCTCAATGTCGGTCGGCCAATAGTTCCGAGGTGAACTAATTTGTTTTGAAAATAATCTTTATCTCTGCGGGAAAAGATGCCAGCAGCAACAACGAGTACGTAGTATAAATAGGGCATGGAGTCAAAGTGCCTTGCGGTGCGGTGTGTTTTTATTTATGAATCTGATGCGTCCCGCGTTCACATACATTGTGCGTTTACGACTGCAACGTGCATGTGTGAGTGAACGCGCGCTTTCGAGCTGGTGTGTGTGAGTACGTGGACATGTGTGTGAGTGTGTGAGCCCGTGTGTGTGTGTGTGTGTGTGTGTGTGTGTGTGTGTGGTGTTGTAAGCGTGCCGCTGCAAACAGCCTCATAAAGACCTAACCTCGGCGTCATAAGACTACTAATTCAGGATGACACCACCGCATCAATTCGTGGACCGCTGGCGTGGCGGGGCGTGGCGGGGCGTTGCGGGGCGTGGCGTGGCGTGGCGGGGCGTGGCGAATCTCGTTTCGGACGCGTAGAAGAGGGCTGCGACTCTCCACTCTCCTGTCCGCTCGCAGCCTGCTCGATGGAAATTAGCGGTGTGCGCTGGAGACGAGGAGACGGGTCGAAAAATTCGACAAGAAAACAAGAAACGCCCCCACCCACGCCACGTGTCTGTGGTCTGTTCACGCGCGGTTAGATCATAAATTATGTTCCCCGGCCACCGCCTTTGAAGCGACGTTTTATGCGACGCGGGACGCTAGACAGGACTCGATCCGCGTGGATTAGCACCTAAGCCCAGCGAAGCCCTCCGAAGCCCAGCGAAGCTGCCGCCTTGCCGCGTGCTGCGCTGCTGCGGGCAACTATGTGACCAGGCATGTGACTGGCCACGTGACCAATGCCGTTACCCGTCTGCTGCTCAGTCACTCGGCCTATTGACCTGAGCATAGAGAGGTTCCCCTGGTTTGGCACCCTGAAAAGTAGAATGCGACAAAAAATTAGGTGTCTGACAAGAAAACCAAGATTTAGTACAATTTTTAGCAGATGACACCGTTGCTAAAGCAAAAGTAAGCTATACAATTGCAATGAAGGTGTCAGCTTGCTTTTACTCTCGAGATAGTTTTAAGGCGGGGCGGGACCATGCGTGCGTCTGTGAAGCCAGCCGGGGCCGGAAAGGGCATGGGGGAGGGGGGCGCTCTCCAGCGCGGCCGGGACCCCCCTCCCCCCTCTACCTCCCCGCCGCCGCCAGCGCAGGGCGCGCTGCGTAGCAGGCCGAGGCACGGCGTGACTCGGGGCAGGAAGGACTGCACAGGCGCAGGGTTCCATGGATCAAGGGTGGGGGTACGCAGCGCTGCGGCGGATAGTGTTTGCAACTGGAGACCCGTCTCGGCAGATGACGCGGTGGACGAGGTGTAGCGCGCCTGGCCCACATGCTGCAGGCGCGGGATCTATTCCCCGTAATTATTTTTTTTTTTTGTTGCTTTAGGCGGTATCTGCCGCAATTAGCGTAAGATCTGTCGCGAATAGAGTAAGATCTGTCGCGAATAGAGGAAGATCTGTCCCGAATAGAGTAAGATCTGTCCCGAATAGAGTAAGATCTGTCGCGAGTAGCGTAAGATCTGTCGCGAATAGAGTAAGATCTGTCCCGAATAGAGTAAGATCCGTCGCGAGTAGCGTAAGATCTGTCGCGACTCCGTTAGGTTAGGTTAGGATGGGTTGGACATAGCAGGCTCTCTAAGTTGGACCCTGCGCCTGTGCAGGCCTTCCTGCCCGGAGTCGCGTCGGGCCTAGGCAGGGCTCGGCCGGCTCGGCTCTCAAGCAGGGGCGAAGCGTGGCCTGCTCAGCTCGTATCGCCTTCGGCACTGTCCGCTTCGCTCGGCCGATACCGATGCAGGATGCAGCGTGGCCCCGCCGCCGGCGACACCGCATGCCGCTCGAGGCGAGGGGAGCGGGGGCCCCGCACCGCACAACAACAACAGTGTCGCCGGCTGGCTATATACTGTATATATTTGTAAATAATAAATCCTACAATAAAATAATTTTAAATTATTCTTATTGCAAATGTCAATTTTGGTGAATGAAGTGATAAACAAGCATATTAAAATAAACATTGACATTACAATGTCATCTGCTTCCACGTTAGCGTTAGCGTTAGCGTTTTTTTCTTGATGTAAAACAGGAATTGACTAGAAGAAAAATTGGGAGAAAGAGAGTAAGTGGAGTTAATAATTAAAATCTTTGGGTTAATAGAAGAAGCTCACACACCAATAGATAACCAGTAGATAACCAATAGAAATAATTTGCACTTGACCAAATGGAGTAGGGGGAAACAGGAATGGAACATAGATGGTAGTCCTTCAACATTAAATGAACGTACTCCTGAACAGATTTGAACTTCACAATTATTGTATCTAACTTAATGGGCAAATGTCCCAATTCAAAAGGCATGCACTTTCATGATCCAAATAATACCTTTTAAGTAAGTAACAGCAAAACTATGAGGCTAAAAACAATGTATGGTTAGACTAGTCACTAAGACAAGAAACCAATGCAGGAAACAATAAAATCTATCGCTTTAAGTGTCATCTATTGTTTCCAGCAGAGACTAGTATATCCCAATTTTAATTAAATTTCCAAAGCTACACAAATGAGATACGAAAATTTCCTAAGTGGTCCCCATTTCTATTTTTCTTTATAGTAGGCCACACCCTAAGAGTAAACCTAAACCGCTCTAGAATCCATTCCAAATTTCTCACACTAGCGCCAGGCGGCTTGAAATAGAGCGGCGGAGCGCGTCGCAGGCCCTGAAGGCATCCGAGGACCTCGTGCCCTGCCCAGGACCGCGACAAACACACACACGTGGCACCCACGCCCCGCCCCGCCCACGCGTCCCGACCCCCCCAGGCCTTCCACCTGTCCGTGGTCAGGGGGCCTCCTCACCATTTTATTTGCGCATCGCCCCCAAAGAACTGGCCTGCTTTTGTT